TTCCCTACATATTGTGGAGATTACACCAGAAATTGTACCTGGGAAGCATTCAAAAGTAGCTCAGGACATGTATTTTGCTGGCCACTTCAACTTACATTGAGTGTATCCTCACAGGGGATGCTGCCTTAGGGGATAGCAACCAAAAAATTTCCTTTTCAGTTATTTTGGTATAATTTGTCCTTCTCGTTTAAGAATTTTCAAGGTTATCGTGCTCTTGTGGGGACAAAAAATCCATGAGACATCAAGAGAAGCACCAACTACCATTTTTTATGAACTTACCTCAACATAGAGGATAGGGAAAATGCCAATCTTGTCACCCAACATTCCTTCTGCCCAGTTGTCATCTACCCTCCTGATGACCGTCAAAATTTCATCCTAAAATGAGAGATACACAAAATTTATGATCAGATTTCTTTCAGTAGAAATATGCCAGTTTTTAATTACTCATACAACAACTTAGGGAGAGAGTACACAGAGGAGGCTATAAATCATGTAAAAATGTTCCCTGAATCCTGGGCCAGCAGCATCCCTGGCCCAGCATCCTGCCCCAAGTATGCCATACAAACTGCACTGAAGCCTCCTGCAGATGGGTGCAGTTTATGTCATCAGCTTCAGTGGCCTGGGCACAGTGGTTGGGAATAGGCAACTCCTGGCTTCATTGCAAGGACAGGGAAGACATTTGATCTGGGGGTTCACCTCTAACCCAAAGGAGAAAACTCTCTAGTAAGAAGCTGCCCCTGGGTATCTGACAGCCCATTGTGGTGCTTGGCTGCTCCAGAAGACAAATCAAAAGGAAGCACCAGTGGAGCACAGGTAGTCCTGGAAACACCTCCAGAATGAAGCATAAGGTATAGCATGAGGTGCTCAGCAACTGGCCTGCACTGCTGATGCACTGAAAGTCAGTTTTTGAGGTAAAAATGCAAAGCAGGTAAAAGGCCAACGATAATGTAATAAAAAACAAGTTGTATTCAACTGTAGGATCAGCTTCAGTTTAGACAAAAGTTTGTTTTCAAAAACCAATTGCATTTTAATATTATATTTAATCTAGGGGATCTTGTAAAAATTTCAGCTGATGAGTAAGTCTTTTGTGATTATAAAACAGGAGATTAAGCAAAGTACAAATAAGATTCATACTGCTGAAAGTTTCTCTTGATAGAGTAAAATCCTAAATCATGCCAGTCATTGCAAAAGCTCAGGGGACTAGAACCAAACCCTGAGTTTTCCCAGTTTGAGCTGCTCAACCTGTCCATGGACTTCTGCTGGGGTTGTCATACTAAACCCAGCCTGGATCCAGCACAACTTGCTACAAAGGCTGTGGAAGCCAGCCCTCTCTGCAGGCAATCCCTACATGCTCAGATCTCCTAGAACCAGAGGAAAGGAGTGAGCTGAGAGAAGCTGTGAAGTGAAATTTGCTGAGTGTGTTCTCTCATGGCATCCAATCTCCCTCCATTCCTGTGCAGAAATGTATGAAAAAGAAAATATCTTCTGCCAGAAAACTGAGACAAGAGTTCCCTGCCATTCTCACTTTATTTTCACCACTCTAGGAAAATAGGAGCTCCATATAGTCTACCACACTCCATGTAACAAGTTATCCATGTTAACTGCTCAGGCCAGGGGAGCTGCTTTTTGCAGCTACCACTCACACAGAAAACATTCCCACAAATTACTGATCCAAGATGCTCAGACCATGGATTTACGTTGATAGAAAATGACCAGAACAATGATGTGATGTACTTTGCAGTTTTTGAACATGTGCATTTTGAGCACATGCACTTTGAAAGAGTTTAAATGTTTTCTTTGAATTATTCATCTGAATGATCCATTGGGGAAAAGCTCAGAGAAACAGCCACAGAGTCCTTCAGCTATTTATTACAGCTGGAAGGATGCAAAAAGAATTTGTGCATTTAATTTCCTGAAGAAACAGATAGCATTCCCTTCCAAAGCCCTGTCTGCATGGACCATTTTGATCAGTATAAAGAACTGACGGTAATACGTCTCTACAAAGCTTTCACATTTAGTATCTAGATAAAGGAGGTAAATTTGTAAAATTGAAGATTGTATCACTTCAAGAACCTGCTACGAGTGTTGAATCATAGGGGTTGGAAGGGACCTCATTGAATCCAAACCTCCTGCTGCAGCAGGAACACCTAGGGCAGATCACTCAGGAAGGCATCCAGAGGGATCTTGAAAGTCTCCAGAGAAGGGAGACTCCACAACCTCTCTGGGCTGCTTGTTCCAGTGCTCTGTCACCCTTGCAGTAAAGAAGTTTTTCCTTATGTTGAGATGGAACTTCCTGTGTTGTAACTTGGTGCCATTTCCCCTCGTCCTATCACAGGGCACCACTGAAAAGAGACTGGCCCATTCTTGACACCCACCCTTCAGATATTTATAGACTATTTTCTTCCACGCGCTTAGAGATGACCTCCAGAATGAGCTGCTGCATCATCTTTCCAGGGATGGAGGTGAGGCTGACCAGTCTGTAGTTATCTGGGTCCTGTTTCTTGCCCTTCTTGAAGACTGGAGTGACATTAGCTTTCCTCCAGCCCTCCTACTTTCTATACTTGTTCAGCTAGTTTCTTAACAGAGTTTTTAAAAACCCAAAGTGTGATGGTTCTACACTTTAACAATATGTTTATATATACATATGCAATCTTATGTGCAAAACGTGCATAGACGTGCAGCTGCATGTATCAGTGTATGTACACAAATGCACATATATACACATACACCCATAAGATAAAAAATTGAGAAAAATCCTTAAAACTCCTAAATCCTTAAAAGCCTTAAATCCGTAGAACCCCAGAAGCACTTGACTAGATTTTGTTAAGAGGCAACATGCAATTACATCTCTAGCATGGGCTGGTCAGGCACCCTGGCAGTAAAGGTTTATCCCACGTTCATCCTGCTTGAGGACGGGGCCGGGAAAGGGTGACCTTTGAAGATCCTTTCCAACTTCCCTTTCTAAGCACCTATGAAATTTAGAAGCACTTCCATACACCCATCTCAGTCTGGCTCTGCCAAGTCTGGCTGCCGAACGAACGTCGTCATAGATGAGAAAACCAGATAGCTGCACACACTGAGACATGCTGACGTTCAACATGCATAGCTACGTGGGAGAGTTAAATGCAAAGCCTTGAGAATGCTTTCCATTACAGAATTCCTTTTCAGAAGGCTATTGAAAATCTCCAGGAATTACAGTAAATCCCAAAACATCTTTTGAAACTCTTTATTAATATAAAGTTTCTTTGAATTTGCAGCCCATGACCTCATTCTATACACCAGGCTGCTGAAAGCTTCAACATGAACTATTTCAGTACCTTAAATTAGTTGGATTGCTGTGCTACTTATAAATTCCTAGAAAGGTTCCCAAAAGGATCATGAATAGTAAAGAGCCATAGATCTCTCAGCATACCACCTCAACTTTCTGAACTTTCCTATTTCTTGTGCACTAAATTGATTTCCAGGCAGCACAAAGAAATCCAAGCTTCAAATCTGATTTCAAGAGCCAATGGTATTCACCGTAGTTTGACAAAGACACCTTGTGCTCTTTTGATGCCTGTTGCTAAAGTCTCTAATTATTTGCTCTTTCCTACTTGCTCAAGTCTCTCTCTATTCATCAGGACTGGGCAGCCTTGTGACAGGCACGTGGGACCTGCAGTTCCAGCTTATAACCATTATCAGAAAGGAAGTCAAAGATAAATCACTTAAAAAGCAATCTGATTGACGAAGAGATCAACCCTTTTGCTGAGAAAACAGCACAAAATTGTGTCCGATAACACTCGTGATTCACAGCCTGATTTTTACTCTAGTCATTAACAGCCATTAAGGGAGGCAATACAAAGCAGATGTGCCTGCAGTTCTGCAGTGATAACAACTCCATCCAGAGCACTGGGCAGACCTGAGCCACGGCAGGATGGCAGCGCGCGGTGCTCGGTGCGCCCGCTGCCCACGCTTGCCAGCTGGCACGAGAATCCCAATCACCAGCTACCGCTGGGACAGTCCCTCTGAGAACAGCAAACACGGCTGGAACGCAGTGTTCAGGGGCTGGGATGCCACTCTTCAGCCAGGAACAGGAATTGGATGTGACGTCTCCAAGATTGGCACAACATTTGTTAAACAGCGCTGTGGGCTGGGAACAAAAGTGTTGGGAGAAGAAGGAAACAGCTGATGTGATTAAAAATGTGATGAACAATAAAGCAAGGGACATTTGATGCTACCTTGGCAGGTTTGAGACTCACCCACCATTAAGCCTTCAAAGGGCCACATGAAGTCATGTATGCAAAGGGTGGTCCAACACCAAAATAAACTGTGGGCTGAATTTGGACTCAGTCTAAGCCTGGAGTAACTACACAGACAATAATGCAGTTACTCCAGAGCTGCACTGCTATAGCTGACAACAGAGTCCTCTTCCACATGGCTTGTACCAGAGAGAGCGTAGCCCAAGGCTTATTTTTTAAAACAGAAACAGTAGGAGCCCAGGCTCATACTGGTACCACATAAAAAGACATTAGAAAGTTGAGTTAAATGAGTATATTCCAAGGGCATACAATGACGCTCTGTAGGCCACACGCTGATTGCAACCACACTGGTGAATATGAGAAGTAACACTTCTGAAGCTGCTGGAGTTAAATTGATGGAAAGCTGAATCCAGGCTGGAGCTTGTCGATACAGAAAGCCAATAGCTGCTAACCAACTGATTTAGCTGATCACTGCTAAATATTAAGAGAAAATATGTTAAGTAGAAGATCTGGGACGTTTTGTCTTCTTGAGGCCACTGTAGAGGAAGGGACAGTGGGGGACCCTATGCCTATACATATGCGGGGAGGAGTTATGCAGAGCAGTCCACAAGGTATTAGAGAATGCCAGGTTTGAGCTTTGTTGCACGGAATGCTCAAGACAGAAGTTTCTCTGTTCCTCCCAGTTTTATACTTACACATAAAAAATATTAAATTTATTTATCTTGGGCTTTTTATCTGGAGAGTGTTGTGCAAATGGCAGAAGCCCTCTACAGCACTGCTCACTAAGATCTGTGTAAAGCAGACTTAATTTCCTTGTAATCCATATCTGGAACAACAGGACATTTTAATTTTGGAAAAAAAACCACAAAAACACCACACCAAAAACCTAGTAAGAGGAAAACCCAAATATCCTTCTTTTGTTTTCTTCTACTGCACTGACAGATACTCTGCCTCCATCCTAACAAGGGAGATGGGAAATCCCAAAGACCAGCACAAAAGCAACAAAACAAAACTATACAGAAGATTCCTATGCTTTATTTATCTTCTTACAGTTCCTCTTCAGAGGAAAACTCTTCTTTACTATATAAATCAAATACAATTACAAATATCTGGTAGTGCTGAATGAGACACAGAGGCTACACTACTAGTTTATGTAAACAATATGCTGATGCAAATCCTCTACCTGAGCAAAGAACGAACAGCATAAATGGAACTGAGATCAGGTCCAGCACCTTCAGATGCAAACCAAGACATTCAAATGATGAATATTGCTTCAAGTGACAAACCACATCCACAGCAATACCGTGCTCATGACTTTGTGCAGAGGAACTGACTGCATCAGCAGATGATCTAAAATCTGGGCCAAACAGGAACTTTCATCAGCACAGGTGACAGCTAAAATTAGCTTTGAGAAAACTGATGAAAACATGATGGTGAAGCCCCAAGATGAAAAACAGATTATTCACTGTCAGGGAGAACAACAGGCAAGACATAAAGACAGTTACAGTGTGACAGTGTGTGTAGTGGAAGGGGCTAAGGAAAAAAAGAAGAGAAACCAAATCTCCTCAGGGAAAAAAAACAGTCATCAGGGATAAAAAGATGCAGACAGTAACACAAGGGATTAAAAAAAGAGGAAAACTGAGGGATTGAGAATAGAGCTGTGAAGCAAAAAGAAATTCATGTGAGAAAGAAATTGAAAAGCCAAAAAATGAGAGCTATCAATAGGCAGTTATTATAAGGGAGGTATACTAATATATGGCACCAAATTTACAAACGTGTCTAGGAAAGAACCTGCTCTAACAAAAAAGACCAAAACTGCCTGCCGTACTTAGTAAGTTTCTTAGTTCAAGAAAGCAATGAGTAAGCAGACAAGAAAGATTGCTTCTCAGAGAAGTCATTGTTTTGCCTCTGGGCAAGCAGCAAGAAAAACAAGGTGCCAGCAAACAGATATTTACTGATGGGATCTCATTGGTAACTTTCTGTTAGAGCATAGAAGTTACTTCTCGCTAAGCAGTCCACTTTCTTACAGAGACTCAGCTCCAGGGAGGCTGGGTAGTCACAGGGTTTGTAGCATTTGCAAGCAAATACTTTGCTTGCTACAGAGCAAAAGTGCTTAAAAATCTTTTGTTAAATCAATACGAAAAAGTATGCATTCCAGGAAATTGAGTTCTGCTGAGAAACAGGGCATGAGTGAAAAAAGATGTTGCATTCAGAGTGGAAATTGTATGCTGCAAATAATTCATTCAGCTATAATAAGTAGCCTCAAAAGAGGAGGTCAATAAAACCCTGGTGCAGGATATTTTTATCATCCATTTCATATTCATTTCCAGCGTAACTGTTATTACTTTATGTGATATGATAACAACCACAGACAGCTGAATTAAAACAGAAAATGACAATGAGCAGGTTCTCCATGGCATTTGGTGCTGTAAATTAACATTAGAGGATATGCTTTATTTTACTGTGTGTTTCATGATATCCATGAAGCCCATCTAAGGTCAACACAAATTGCTAGGGAGGGGTGGGAGAGGCAGAAAGCAGGTGGGGAGCTGGGGAGAAAGGGAAAATGTGACATTTGAAATACAAAAGAAATTGACATATCTCTATTTTTGCTCATTCCAAATGGATTTAATAACATGTTTTGGTTTTAAGAAAACAAAGACCTTTTTTAAATGTCTGCTTTTAAACGTCTTTATGTTCTTAAAATAGGAAGTACTATGATATATGATGATAGTGTATTTCAACTGCTAACTGATACATGGTTGAATGCAATATACATTTCAAAGCTGAATGGCATTTTAGAACATTAAAACATCTGATCCAATCAGGAACATTAAAATACACGTTTCTGCTAGAATTTTTTTTTTTAAATTGAGTCGTTCTTGCAGAACATTTCAATGCAAATGAAATGTATACTTTTTAGACAGATTATATTCTCAGAAAGCATGTAGCTGGTTGTACTTCTGGAGTTTCACTGGCTTTATACCAACCTTGCTGTAGATGACATGAGCTACCTCACTGGCTCTTCCTTCAAACAAAACCAGAGCAATTTCCCACTTACGCTAACATGGGGCTTCCCCTGAGGGGAGGCTTTAAGGCCCCCCAGACCTGAAGCATGGCTGGTGTGTGGGACATTGGAGATTCTTCCTCCTCAGGAAGGAGGATTTACAAATCAGAAATCAATGTCCTTCAGCATGTTACATGAGCAGAAACACAACTTAATAAAGGAAATTCAGCCCTGTCAGACTGTTCCCACTAGGCTACCTTAGCTCAAGAACTTTAATTTTCTCAGACAAGAAACCAGTTGACAGAAACAGAGTGCAAGAGTTTGCTGGCTGCCTGGAGAAGCCAGGCAGATGTCCCACCAATCCCAGCACCACTGTGCTCCAGGCTTGGCTGCCAGCAACCCACACACCCCAGCAGTCTCTACAGGGACAGCTTTCTAGAGTTTTGTTTGTTTGTTTGTTTGTTTGTTTTTAATTAAAAAAACAACCAACCCTGTTAATCTACCTTGGTGAAGGTCAGGCAGTCCTTGTCTTGGTCTTTATCCTTTATTTCAAAGTCATAAAGTGCTTTGCCCTGAGGTGGAGCTTGCGGGAGGGGCTTGATACACTGGATGTAGCTGGCCGGGAAGAAGCCATGGTTCCCATTGAGCTCACCATGGTACCAGTTCTCGTCCACCTTTCGCCGCAGTATGATGATGTCCCCCTTGTTAAACTTGAGGTCACCAGGCTCTTTTCCTTCATATGCGTAGAGGGCTTTGCCGTAGGGAAGCTGAGAAATGGTCTGGGGAAACAAAATACACAACAGCTTTAAGCAAACTCCAGACAACACCAGTTTCCTACTTAAAGTCACTTTTAGCTAGAAACATATTGATGATCCATGATCGAACTACCCCAGCGATTGCAGCTGACTGCTACATAATGCTATGCCCTGAACCTTACAGGAAAACTAGGATGCCTGTGAAGGTACGACCAAGAAGGTAAATCATCAGAGGAGGCACTGAAGTTCTCTTGAAGCTCAGATGAAACCCATGGTACCTCTTTTACCATCAACTACCACCTTTCTTTTTTTTTTGCCAAATATCATACATAAGAAGGACTATGTGTTTAAACATGTAAAACTTGACACATGTAAAGGTAAAATATTAGATACTTTGACCTTCAGGGTTGCTTTGGTTTCTGAGGCTCAGAAGATAAACAAAACCAAATAAGCTTGAAGATTCATACGCTTCTAAAAGTTGGCAAGTTGAAAATTTTTCATTGCATTTGTTTGAGAAACTCCAAATATTTTTGAGTTTGAAGCTTTTAGTTTAGCTTTTGATTCTGTAATCAAATACTCTTACTTCTTTCGAAATCCCCAAGTCTCATGCTATTCACTGAGGGCTACTGTAAACAGTTATAATATTCTTTGTTGCTTATGAATTAATGTCCCTGTGGAAAAGCGGAATGGGCAGAATGCCTCAAATCTTTCTTTTAGAACTAAAAACAACTCTGAGGCTTTCACCTTCATTAAAAGAAAGAAAGAAAGAAAGAAACTTAAAAAACAAAATCACAGCACAAGAACAAAAGAGCCAAAAAAGTTAATAGTTTAGTGTGATAGAAAAGAGAAACCTATTTGATGGAAACTTCTCGACTGTCAAGAAGTCTGCACAGAGCTCACTTTGGCCTGGTGCAAGATTGCCTCATCCAGGATGCAACTTCATGGACAATTTTTTTGAGGAAGTATTGGTTTATGTAGCCCTTGCACTCCCTGCATACTTGTTCCACTTCTTGCTGAACCCCAAAGTGCTGGGGTCACTGTGCTGGACACAGCTACCTGCTGTTCTGGGCTTGTAATAGCTCTTTATCCCATACTGGGAGAGAAAAGGTGTATTGCTGTATTATCCTATGCTATTTTCAATTTTACTCATCTTGAGCTACTGGAACAAGTTGCCCAGAGATGTGGTGGAGTCACCATCTCTGTAGATGTGGTACTGAGCGCCATGGTTTAGTGGTGGATTTAGCTGTGCTGGGTTAATGGTTGGATTTGATGGTCTTAAAGGTCTTTTCCAACCAAAAAGTTTCTCTGATTCTATGATCTTAAAGGGCTTTTCCAGACAGAACAATTCTGTGATTTTCTGTGATTCTCTATACCTCAGGGAATGTTACAGGGGTCCTGCAAAGTCAGCCTTTCATAAGAGCCTTTTTTTTTAGAGATGTATTCATAAAAATGACATGGTTTTCTGTTGCATGTTTATATGCCTATGCACAGTGTATTCCCTGCTCTGCACACCGGTTGTCAATGGGTGTCCTACAGAGACAATGAAAAAGTAAAGGTATATTTAATAAAACATCCTGGTGACTCCTCCCTGGTGGAGGGAATGGATGCAAGTTGCGCCAGGGGAGGTTTAGGTTAGACATTAGGAAGCATTTCTTCACTGAAAGGGTTGTCAGGCATTGGAATAGATTGCCCAGGGCAGTGGTAGAGTCACCATCTCTGGATGCATTTAAACGGAACGTGGACTTGGTGCTTAGGGACATGGTTTAGTGGTGAGCTTGTGCTGTTAGGTCTAGGGCTAGACTGGATGATCTTGGAGGTCTCTTCCAGCTACAGACATTCTGAGATTCTGTGATTCCCTCATGGGTTTCTTACACCTGAACTTCTGGATGACAATCCTGTGTGTAAGAATAGCACAGGATGCTTTCTGCAGGGAGAAGGTGGAGTGGCCCAGCAGCAACACTCCATCCCCCCACCTCAACCAGAAAATGAGGTGCTGGGCTGATTTGAAATGATGTTTGTTAAGGTAACAAGCAGAGGCATTTCTGAATCTCAATGGGTGCATTAAATGGACCTGCTCTGGGAGGGCAGGTCTGATGGTCTTACACCTGCATCTCTGAGCAGGAGGAGGAGAAGAACCAGCCTCACTGTCTGCCCTGCCTGCCAGCACAGCCTCTTCTGGCTGCTTCTGGCACCAGACGGTCGCTGCAGCAGGCAGGTATCACGTTGTTCAAAGAGTAAGTTTCTTGAGTGCACCTTCACACACAGGCATTAACTTATTCATTTTATGAGAAAGTGCTTAAGTAGCTGTTTGGACCTTGGGAAGCATGTGCAACACATCATCTTGCCTACGCCATGCAGTGAAGGAGGCAGTCACACCAGCACAGATCTACAGAACAGTGTCTGCCTTGTCTGGATGGGGATTTAATTTCATTCAGATGTGTACCTAGCTCTAGGTTTTCTCATTACTGATTTATATTTCCAGTTTCTTCCTCTGTGTTCTTCTGGATTTTGCTGTATCTGAATGAAGGTACCCAGTTAAAGACCAGTATTTTGGAAGCACGTTCAAGCATAACAAAAAAAGTGTAAAAACAGAAAAAAAATAAAATCAACAGCCCGTCAACATAGCATGCATCAAATAGTCTCTGCCAAATCAGTAGCATCCTAGTGAAATTTTTCTCTCTGCCAGGATGGTTATTTCCCTTGATAGCAAAGCTTTTGCCCCTCTCCTCAGCATTTCAAAGATTAAGCATGTGATATCATCAAACTCCATAGGTAAGGCATAGATCACATTACTTATTTGAGACTAGAAAAAAATACATTATGCTGAAAGACTACGAAGCCTTGTAGCTATTTAGAAATAAAAGATTCATTACTTTAACTCATGCTGGGAGAAGAGAATTTATCAAAAACCAAGTAAGACTTCTGCCAGGTGTGCAATGAACCGCTGCTGATCCAGGCAAACACCTAGCAAGCACGCTCTGTATCACTTACTCTAGACATGGCTTTCCTATTCCCAAGATCTTTATAGCAATTCAAGGTCAGATCACTTTCTTTACTTTTTAACCCCCTTCTCTTCCCAAGACTCCCTTTACTGTGTCAAAAGTCAACAGCTCCCAGAGCAACAAAAAATAAACGTTGGGTTTTTTTTATTCAGTCTCACACATCATCAATTAAATTCTGAGGCAACACATGCTGAGCTTTTATTACTGATTAATTGAGCTGGCTAGAAGATAATTTAGGTGCCTGTTTATACCTTTACCCAAAGAAAATGCAAACTTTTAAGAAAAAAAACCACAAAAGCAAACCCAATAAGCAAACCAAAATAAACAACCAAACAAAAACAAACAACCAAACAACCAAAACCAAACCAAACAAAAAAACCACCACCACCAAAAAAAACAAATTGAAAGGCAAAAATTTTCACTTGAAATCTGGCATTGTTTTATTTGGAGACCCTAATGTAGCACTCGAGGGAAATTTCAGTTCAGGTGCTTGTGTTCCTATTCTCTTTCATGGGCTTAGTTATTGACCATGTCATGTGGGCACTGTTCTACACGTAACTACAACTGATAGTGTGAGAATATTTCCAAAATAAAAAAGTTTCAGTTATCAGCTACAGCTCCTCTAATTCTAATCCACAGCTTTTTAACTAAAAAATATGTAGAGACATTTTAAAAAATGAACATGTTGTTTAGTGGAAAAGACACACTCCTATTAAAAAAATGTAATTGAGACATTTCCCAGCCTTTCCATAAGGCTGCTAGTACTCATTTTGATTTAAGCATCCCAGTAAAGCTTGTGCAAGTTAATGCAAGTAAAGCTTGCATTGACTATGGCTCAGGCAGAGGTAAAGATATAACTGAGTCCTCTAACCCTCTTCAAGTAAAGCTGCTTTTCCCATTTTAAAGCTCTAAGTATCTGATCCAATTGATCAAGAGAGAAATTCAGTATCACAATTACAAAAAGAAAAAAAACCAAACCAAACTCTGGAAGTGTGTTTGCTGATATTTTCTGGCCAAAAGGTGGATTAAAAGGGTTATTAATGAATGCTGGTCTTTAAGAAGCAGATGTTGGGAAGTTTCCCATTATTGTTCTTACTTTCATTTAATCCATAAGTGAGAAGCAAATCAGATTCAGAAAGCTCCTCTTAACTACTCCTGAAAGGAGGGAACATTAAGCATATTTCATAAATAGAAGAAAAATATCACTGCTTCTCTTTGTTAGTTGTCACTCCCCATCAACAGGTGATTCTTAGAAATCTTCCTGTGATCCTGTGATTATCTCCTTCCTTGCCAAATCTTTACACAGTGCAGTTCTTGCCTAATCACCTTCTTTTTCTTCACTTGCTTCCCACGATTAAAAAAGAAAAGCATTGGCCAGGACTGATCTCTGGCTCATGGGCAAACCCCTCAAGCCCTGCTGGGGGGCATGCCCTTCCCATTTTCTGTTCAAAATCTCTGCTACATGTCCTATTTCCTCTCAGCTCTTTCTTCCATGCAATGGCATTTCAGTCAAACATCATCATCTTCAACATGCCCAGGTGGTCTTTCTTACAAAATCTTCTGATCAAGCTGCAGTGCCATCTAAGGTATCAGATTAAAAAGCAAAGGCAAGCAATGGTTTTGGTGGAGGACGGAGACAAGCACATAAAGAGGTTCCTCCAGCAACTGCACGAGCATTTACACATAAAATCTTACAATTATTTTGTTTGGAAAAGATCTTTAAGATCATTAAGTCCAACTGTTAACCTAGCACTGCAAACTCCACCACTAAACCATGTCACTATGCACCAGTTAGGTTAACTGGAATTTGTGTGGGTGAGTACAGAAATAGAGGGAAGGAGGGAAGGAGGGAGGGAAGGAGGGAAGGAGGGAGGGAGGGAAGGAGAAGGAAGGAAGGAAGGAAGGAGGGAAGGAAGGAGGGAAGGAAGGAGGGAAGGAAGGAGGGAAGGAAGGAGGGAAGGAAGGAGGGAAGGAAGGAGGGAAGGAAGGAGGGAAGGAAGGAGGGAAGGAAGGAGGGAAGGAAGGAGGGAAGGAAGGAAGGAAGGAAGGAAGGAAGGAAGGAAGGAAGGAAGGAAGGAAGGAAGGATAACTGCTGGCTTTTTTTTCCTGCCAGTAAATGCACGTTAGCATGATGCTGAATACTGCCAAAGGTTTCTTTTCTATTTCAGCAATCAATACTGATGTAAAAGCCTGAAGCGTTAATATGCTGAACCCCCCCCCATCACAGAAGACTTAATGATATGTTGGCAACTCAATCATTCCGCATTTGTGTTTCAGCAACGTCAAATGGCAGCAGTTAAGCAGAAACCTGCTGGCAAATTGACAAACAACAGCCATGAAGCAATTAAGTGGCAATGCTGGAGAATTTTTCATAATGTATCCTGAAGAACAAAAGGAGAGGAAAAAAATCCAAACATGCTTGTTTCCACTAAATTCTCCCAGAACAGAGTTTTGTAGAGTGTGAGCTACACAGGTAAAGTAGGTCTTAAATTTTCAAAAGTTATGGAAAAGAGACATTTTCTCAATATGCTTGAAAACAATGCAAGCTCCAGCATGGGTCAAAGTCTGGCAGCTTCTGTGTGTGATACTGATGAAGAAAATCACTACTTAGAAAAAGGTCCAGTGCTTTTCTTACTTCACATTATTTGGGAATGGAAAATAAAAGCTTCCCCATATGACCATTTTTTCTTGAGAGAGCAAACAGGGTCTGGATGTCATAGATGAGTGTGCCCTCAGTTTCTCTGTCTATGCTCAACTCAGGAGGGTGTAGAGCAAAGACAGCATCAAAGCCCCATGTGGAAAATCATCAGAGAGCCTGGCCAGATTTGCTGGCTCGCAAACACACAGGAGGAAAGTCCAAGACCATTCCTTGACGTCAATACATTGCATTATATAAGAAATCAAAAATAAAATAGGCAGGGACAAGGCCTCCAGCTACTAAACCCAGACAGAAATGCTATGATCTGGCCCTTCTCTCAGACCAAGTTTGTGTTCAGATTCCTGAAACCCAAGAAACCTCTTGAGACTCCAGCTACAACTCTCTGCAACAGCAGAGCAGATTTGTTTTTCTGCCATGTGAAAGCCACATTAACACTGAAGAGTAATTTCCCTTGCCTAAGCTCCTGCTTTGTGCAGCTCAAGCTGTGGCAAGGAGAACCTCAGCCTCTTTGCTGCAAGGGACTCTCCTGCACATAGGGAACCCCCATGAGAGGCAGGTGTGAT